CCCAAGTAGCTGGGACTACAGGCGCCCGCCACAACGCCTGGCCATTTTTTGGTTGCAGCCATCATTGTTGTTTGGCAGGCCCGGGCTGGGGATTCGAACCCCCCACCTTAGGTGTATGTGGCTGGCGCCTTAGCCGCTTGAGCCACAGGCGCCGAGCCGCCGAGCCTTTTATATTGGCCTCCTGCACCCTGCATGTGGCATCATGTACTTACTATTCAGCCCTGTCGCAAATGCTGGGTCTGGCTCTGCTGGGCTGTGTTCTGCTGCCTTCCACTTTCAGCCTCTCTGCTCACTGTGTTCCAGACCCCTCGGAGGTACATAGCCCAGCACAGCTTTTGTCCATCAGTTCATCCGTGGAATAAGACACGGTCACTATACTCGTGTTCCCTCCTAACATGCTTTCTCCTTCCACCTCCTGGTTTGGGCTGCTTATGTTTTTATTTTTTGCTCCTCCTTCTTCTCTGTACGAATGCAAATAATCGAACTTTGACTCTTCGTTAACTACAGGAGAGAATATCTATTTCTCTTCCACTAAAATTCACCGAGCTCTCTGCCCCTTTTCCCATTTTTGATTTGCACCTGTTATTTCCACATGGTGAGATTTTTCACCCTTGCTTTCTGTGATCACATTTCCTGCAGGTATCGCAAGCACGTGTGATGCCCAGTCAAGCCTTCCAGAGGCCGACGGGAAAACACGTGTGCCTTCATAGAGCGCATCTTTGAGCTTCTCAATTACTATTAATTGATCAGGACAATCTGTCTAGTGGACACAGTGACCTGACGGACTAGGGCAGGAGCCTCATTTTCTAGACCTCATGGGTTATTCAACATGGTTTTCTAAGTCTTGCCTGACTTTGAAAAGGCCATTTTCTTTATTCTAAAATTATTTTTCTTACTTATTTTCTTGTTTACTAATATACAAGAAGCTTTCTGGTTTTATTTGTTAAATGAGTAAGTGAATGGATGAATGACTGATAAATGAATGAATGAAATTTGCTCCTGGAAAGTGCCACGTGTGTCTTGTTCATTCCCTGGTATTGCTCACCGTGTGCCCCTCCTCCCCACCAGGGCCAGGCACTGGAGCAGGCCATCATCAGCCAGAAGCCACAGCTGGAGAAGCTGATTGCTACCACGGCCCACGAGAAGATGCCCTGGTTCCATGGAAAAATCTCTCGGGAAGAGTCTGAGCAGGTTGTTCTGATAGGATCTAAGACCAACGGAAAATTTTTGTAAGTATTGTGTCTTTCCCCCTTCCCTCTTCCCACCAGACCTGCTTAGACAATCAAGGGTAATTCCGTTTCCCTGTGGCTGGGCTCCCGAGACCCGAGGAGGGGTCCTGTGTTGTCATCTGACAGCTTGCACACTGGCTGGTCCTATGGCTTGTGCCCGAGCCTTTCTTTTGCCCCGTCTGATCCCAAAATTAACATTCTCCTGGGGTGTGGAAGCACATAATGTTTAAAGAAATGTTATTCAGCCCCATACTCTTCTTTTAATGGCAAATAGAGGATGCATAACAATTTCTGTGGCTATCTAACTAGAATAAAAATATCACAGTTTGTTCACTCAGACTTCCCTTGTGATCTCACCCTTCACTTCTATTTTTACTCGGAACTAAGTACTAACAGGGCAGATATGAAAGAAAATTTCTCGGGCGGAGAGTATACGAGTGGTGAGCTCAGGTTCACGTGTTTCGGTCTTCTGAACTCCAAAGCTAGGAAGTAGGAGTCTGGGTGCTGCTTGTTGTTATTTTTAATGGTTTGATATAAATCCTAAGATACAAGCCCCCTTGAGCACAGCAGCTGTCCAGGGAAGGGAAGGAGCTGTCTTTGGGTGGCATCAGCCTTCTTCCCCAAGTGGTCTGGGGGAGACAGCAGAGTGGGGTGGCCTCCCACAGAAGGAGTTCTTACCTGCATTCACCTCTCAGTGTCCCTACAGAGAAGCTTACTGGGGGCCACACAGAAAAACCCGCTCCATTCTGGCCTTGGAACTTAAACAGAAGCCACAGCTGGAGAGACCCCTGGTAGCCTCAGGGTCGGCCATGTGGACGAGCACCCAGGAGGCTTCATGAGCTTTTCCTAAAAGCAGAAATGTTTCTCTGAGTGTCCACCTATTTTAAAAGATAATCCTCAGCCTTTCCATGATATCTCTTATTTAAAAAGTGATCTTAGCCAGGTGTGTTGGCTAAGACAGGAAGATAGCTTGAGTTCAAGTCCAGCCTGGACAACATAGTGAGACCCTTCTTAAAAAAAAGAAAAGAAAAAACTTAAACACAATACTTTGAAAACAAAAAAAGAGTAGCCCAGGTTAGCACTGACTAGGATGATGGTTTTTAGTGGGGCACAGATGCTGTGAGGGGAAGACAGTGCCCCCAGTGAGGCCCTGACCCGCTCATCTTCCCTGCGCTCTGGGCTGGCTTCTACCCTCTTCTCCACAAGAACTTTTAACACATATGTTGTGGGACTGCACACATGGCATCTTGGCAGGTGAGGTCAGCCCTAAACAGCATGATCCACATGACGGACTGCTGCCTTCCCTCTGGTTGAGACACCTCTCTGGGCTCCCAGGAAGGTACCCTGGCCATGCAGCAGATTCTCCCTTCAGACTTGTCTGGAAACAGAGGCTACACCAGCATGGGCCTGAGGTCTGCTCTCGCCGTCCTTTGCCAGGGACACGTGTAAATCCTGTGCAGAAGGCAGGAAATCCCACGTGCAGCTCTTGTTTGACAAACATGCCTTGTCCCCTGTCTGCCCTGCACAGACAAACGTGTCATTTGTGCTCACAGCACATCCATCTTCCCAAAACCGAGGCTCATGGTTTGCGCTGGACATGCCTAAACTTGCTGTGCTTCCAAGTCAGCTGGTGTCAGAGCTGGGATCTGTCCTATACTCCCCTGTTGGGTCAGGTCAAAGTTGCAAAAAGTCATGGATCTGAATAATCCCAGTCTGCCCTGCTCATAGGTCATTTCATAAAATGATCATTTGCAATGAACAGCCTCAGCACAGGGTCTTTGGGGTCCCTGCTGGGCATCCTCACTTAGAGACAGGGATGTCACCAAGGGATACCTGCCTTAGGACAGCCAAGGGGCCCGGCCAGCTATCGGCTCCTCCTCACCACTCCTCTCAGGCTGTCATCCAGACTTTCCTAAAGAACGTGTTTCGTGTCTACTGTCCATTACACCAGCACATCCATCCATGGACCGACATTCCTCATAGTTGCAAGAAGCACCAAAGGCACAGGCCCAATTCCAAGCTTTGGGAATGGAGGTACAATGTTCATCTGCCTGTGCCTTAGAGAGAGAAGGAGTCGCTGACCAGCAGGAAAGAAGAGCACATGTCGGAGGCACACAGCCAGAGGAGGGCATGCCAGGGTGGGGTGCCCTGTCTATGCCAGGTGGAAGGAAGGGCCTCAGTGCAAGCGGAGACGGCACAGATGGGTGCCCCGAGGCAGGAGTGTATGGGGTGGGGCCTTCATCAGACCTTCCTGCCAGAATGTGAAGAACCTCCAAGGTCCTCAGACCTGGAAACAAAACCTAATTTTTGTGATTCCTAATGCAGGGTTTCATGAACTTGATTTTAAATAAGCTCCTGTGTGTGAACATGCTGGGCATAAAGTCAGGCGCTCTGTAGAAGCTTAGCAAAGTGGGTTACAATCATTAATGCATCTTGGCGGTCAAGACCCAGGGATGCCCAGCTGGGAAGACCATGGATTGTCAAACATGACAGTTTGACCTGCTTTATCAGAGGGTTGGGGCTAGACCCCTTTCTAGGGAGAGCCTGCACCCTCCCAGCCCATGTGAGAAGCAGGACCACAGCAGAGAACTGAGTACTGCCCCTTTCCCCTCCTCAATCTACCAGCTGGGGGAAGCTGTTTTCTTGCCTATTTCTCTTGCATTTCCTTGCGGGAGGCCAAGGTGAGGGAAGTCTTAGGGAACAGGGAGAGCGGCGCCAGGCACTAATGGGCGAATTTCCTGAGAGCTGCTCCGGGAAGCCTATAGCTGTATTTGTCGCAAAACATAATTAGATCTGGGATTTTCCCTTAATCTCAGAATGTCAGACCAGAAAAGGTTGTGGAGAAAGAATCACCAGCCTCACTGGCTCTTCCCTGATCATCTCTCAGAGAATGACGGGTCCTGAGTGAAAGGTTCTGGACACAAGGAAGAAAGATTATTCCAAAACACGAAACAAAGGAAAACGGAATCCCGTTCTGTAGAAATAACATGGTCTTTATTTCCACCTGGATTCAGGTGGGGTGAAATCAAGAAAGGAATTCCTCACGTGGGTAATGGCAGATGGGGATTTAAAGGGTCAGGGAGGGCAGCAATTGGTGTCATTCTTATTTCCTGGGCGGGCCTTGAACCTGACCCTGCCTGGGCAGGGCAAGTTTATTTGGGTGATACCCTTAGTCTATCACTGAGCGCCCCAAGTGCACCAGCCCGTGGGAAGCCATCTCAAAGGAGTTTGCACAGCCTTTCCTTGGATGCCCAGAGCCATCTCTGTCCAGACCTGCCTGGCAGGGAGCTGCACCCGCCCCGTCCCTGCTGGGTTCCTTGGACCACACACCTGATTTAGGGTCTTTATCATGTCTTTATTCTCAAGGTTTTAGATTTCCACTCCTCCCTGCTGCTTTTCTGCAACTCCTCCCTGAGGACTTCCTGTGACTCCAGGGATAAATCAGTGACTCAGCTTTTTTGCGTTGGTTGAACAGCTGAAGTCACTTCTCTCTGGCAACCTCACCCAGCCTCCTCCCTGTGCTTGGCCTTGCCCCCTCTGCAGGCCTGTGGGCTGGCTGGCGTTTGTCCTCTAAATCAATAAATTATTCTAGATCCATCCCCATCTCCTCAGCTCATTTTATTATTATTTTTTTTTTTTTGCAGTTTTTGGCTGGGGCCGGGTTTGAACCACCTCCGGTATATGGGGCTGGCACCCTACTCCTTTGAGTCACAGGTGCCGCCCTCCTCAGCTCATTTCTGCTTTCTACTTCCTGAATCACATCAACAATACTGCGGTTTCACACAGGGGCAGCTCCCCTCAAGTCCCAGTTAGGGAAGGAGTGAGATGTGGATTCTTGGATCTCTCTCTGTGTCTCATCTTAAATCATTAGTGGTGCACAGCCCAGGGACACAGCAACAGATACAGAAATAGAAAAAGATGACTGATGCCCTTATGGTTGGAGGAGTGGCCTGCTCCGGATGGGCTGTTGAGACCCAGATGCTGTCTCTGCCTTGTAACTGGCCCTGTACCTGCAGTAAGGGACACAGTGGTCTCTTTTTTTGCCAATGCCTAATGTTGTGCTTGCCTCTTGGAGTCACTGACGGTTATGTACTACTGTAAACAGAAGCCACTCGTGTGGTGCTTGGTACAGAATGTCAGCCACTATGCTGCCCTTGCCACAGCATCCGTGAACGCATCTGGATGCCTCAGTGACACACACTCGAATGGCAGGTCCTAAGGCAACCCTCGGTCCCCACGTCACAGGCACACCAGGACTGCTGCAGGTGGGGGTCGTCCTCCTGCAGGTGACAAAGCTGGGCAGGCCCCTCTCATCCTTCCCCTCTGTCTTTCTGTTTGCCATAGCTGTGTTGATTTCCTCTCTGGGCTGTGAATACCCAGAGTGAGAGTCCCTGTCTTGACCACAAAAGGATTCACACTGGCGTTTTCTTTTATGAAGTGACAGATTAAAATAAAGAATAATTATTTCACGGAGAGGGCTGGAAGTTCACCTCTGCACTTTTCACACTCAGGAGGATTTAACCAGTTCAGTGGAATCGTATGAGCAAGGAGAATCCCAGCAATTACCCTTCCTGCTTTCATCATTAGCACAAATCACTGTTTTCACCGCTCAGACACCAGCATTTTAGCCTGGGAATCAGGTTATACCGAAAGCAGCATTGGTGAGAGTGGAGCTAAAAGGAGAAAAATGGATCACCCAAAGCACGGACCACCGTGGCCGTTCAGAACTGCTTTTGCTTGGGCAGAGAAAACACTGAGGGGAAGGCAGTGTATTTCAGACATGAGAGACCAGCTCTGATTGTAACTCCTCAGTAATGCAGTTCAAAACACAGAGGACAGGCCCACAAGCTCCTGCCCATCAGATGACTTATATCTGGGGGTTTCTATGCAAATTGGAGCCCAGTGTCTCTACATACAAACATGTGTGAGATCCATTTACACTGATGGCACCAGAGCCAGGAGGGACCTCACCACTTAATAGCCTGCAGCCCTGGTTTTTC